TCAGGCACCGCCCGCCAGGCTTGTTACGGGAGACGGTCGGGTTCCGGGACAAAGTTTCTGCCAGGCCTGAAAGCCTCGTGCAGAGCATTGAGGGTGGGGATGTGGAGGTCGGCAACAGGAAAGCGAGGGGAGGTGGAATCGAGGAAAAAGTCAATTTGCTCGCGCGGGATGGCCTTGTCTGAAAAGATCGGGGCCCAATGACAGCGAAGAGCCGCAGCAGTGTCCTCCGGAGATCGTGGTACCAGTGGGAGGAGGGAGCCGCCCTCCGCCGTGCTCGGATTCTTGGCAATATGAGAATGTGTGATGCCGTAAAGATATGACGATGACGGCGACAACGATGACGACGACGATGATGGTTAATAATAGTAATAAAAATAAGAAGAAGAATGGTAATAGTAATGGTAATGGTAATGGTAATGGTAATGGTAATGGTAATGGTAATGGTAATGATAAGGATGATGATGATGATGATGATGATGATGATGATGATCATGATCATGATGATGATGATGATGACGATGATGGTGATGGTGATGGTGATGGTGATGATGATGGTGATGGTGGTGACGATGATGAGGATGATCAGGAGAACGAAGATGATGATGATGATGATGATGATGATGATGATGATGATGATGATGATGATGATGATGATGATGATGATGATGATGATGATGATGATGACACTGATGATGCTGCTGCTGCTGATGATGATGATGATAGTGGTGGTGGTGGTGATGATGATGAGGATGATGAGGAGGAGGAGGATAAGGATGAGGATGAGGAGGAGGAGGAGGAGGAGGAGGAGAGGAGGAGGAGGTGGTGGAGGAGGAGGACTACAAGGGCGAGCGCGGCGAGGAGGATGGAGAGGAGCGGGAAGAGCAGGACCAGCAGCAGCAGGAGGGGGGAGATCGGAGCAGGAAGCAGGAGAAGGGAGGAGAGGATGATGAGGAGGATGACCAGAGTAGGCCCCACCTGTGCCAACGATGCTACAGCACCCCCTCCCATCCCAAGTCCACTCCGTACTGTTCCCTGTAGACAGTCTTCTCCATTTCGCGAGGGCGCCCCCCTTGAAAGACGAGCGCTCCGTGGCTCTGCAATTCAGGCAGGAGCTCCGCTTTTTGAAAGGAGCTGCCCTCCATCCTTTGAGCTATAAGGACTAGGGCAAGGTGGAGCCATAAAGTTCAAAGAGCTGCCCAACTACAACCCCACTTAGAAAAGGAACCGCCTTCCGTCCGTGTAACGATTTCAATATTGTATGCTCTGAACCTAAATCGGACGTGGTCACGATTGCGAGCCTCATGTCAAAAAGGAACGGCCCTCACCCGTGTAAGCGCTTCACATGTTTGTACATGTTGTAGCGCATACGCAGGACATCGCAGGGGAGAGCATCAGTTTGGAAGAGATCCGCCCTCTACCCGCGTAAGCATTCGACGTGTTCAAGACGAGTGTGCACGGCTGCAAGACAAGAGCCCCATTTAGGAAACGACCCACCCTCCATCCGCGTGACTGCTGGACAGTTAAAGCTTCAAGATAGCAAACGCTGATGACATGAAATGTGAAAGGGAACGCCCGGCCAGCCGCCTTGACGGCACCCCTGGTAGCGCGACAGGAAGGAGTTACGTATAATGGATGAGGAGGAAAAGGGGAAGGATGCTGATGAGGAAACGGAGGATGAGGAGCAGCAGCACCTGCAGCACCAGTAGGAGGAAGAGGAGCGCAGGAGAAACAGCGAAGATGGATGAGAGAGGAGGGGGGGAGGGAGAAGAGAGGATGAAAAAGGATATCAGGATATCAGGAGCAGGGGAGGATAAAGGACGGACGGGCGGAGAAGGGAATGTACAAGGATGAGGTACAGGGAGGCACAAGCTCAAGCCGTCAAGGAGCGGGGGGTGGGGGCACTCCCATTCGTCATGCGGGCTCAGGGAGGCAGAAGGACGAGACCGACGAGGAGGGAGGAGGGAGTAGGGAGGACGGGCGAGGGAGGAGAAGGACGAGGACGGGGGGCGGAGGGAGGACGAGGGGGAGGAGGGAGGGGGGGGTGGTGAGGAGGGGGCACAGCGGGGACGAGGAAGGGGAGGAATGAGGGAGGCAGGAGGGAGGGAGGAGGAAGGGAGGGAGAAGGGAGGGAGGGGGGAGGAGGAAGAAAGGGCGAGAGAGGCAGGGAGGCTCGGAGGGGAGGGAGGGAGGATGGAGGAGGGAGGGAGGAGGGAGAGGGGAGGAGGAGGGAGGGAGGAGGGAGGGAGGGAGGGCGAGGGAGGAAGAAGGGAGGAAGGAGGAGGGCAGAGAGGGAGGGAGGGAGAAGGAGGGAGGAGAGGGAGGAAGGCGAGGGAGGGAGGGAGGAGGGAGGGAGGGAAGATACCGTTGACGACGACGACGACGACGACGACGACGACGACGACGAAGGACCTCCGCTCCTCCTGTCCCTGCGCCATCCCGCCCCGGTCCGCCTGGGCCTCGACCGCGGAGGGAGTCCCGCCCCGAGGGGGGCGCCTCGGGG